TGCTGTACGTACTTCTGCGATACGTACTTTAATCCTACGTACTTTTGCTTACGTACTTTTGTCCTACGTACTTTAGCGATACGTACTTTGGTCCGTAACCCAGTCCGCTCATATCCACCGACGTGCCCAGGTGTCGCTAGCGAAGCGACAGCCGTTTCAGAGGGCGGCACCTGTGGCGGCTGTGGCCTGACAGGCACCTAGACATTATAGCTGTTGTCACGACGGACTGTCCGGCGAATGCACCTAATTTGACCAAATCTGCACCTAATCTCTTTTACGGCAAATATCTTCATTTTATGAATTTATTTCAGTGTTTTAATCGATGATACTCTCTGATAATATGACAAAGTAGGCATATAAGCAATAGGGGAGAGTGGGGAAAGATGCCCAGGGTTTGACTATGTCATATATTAATTCTAAAATGACGATCGGAAAGCCAAAACTTGGTGTTTCAACGGAAGCCAACATCATTTTTCTCCAAAAATATCACACTTTCGTGCCAGAAATATGACAACTTTTTTTGCTATTAAGCATTTTCCTGAAGAAGTGAAAGGGGGCATCTTACCCCACAGGGTGGGAAAGACGCCCCCTGGCGTTGGGTAAGATGCCCCCTGCACTATAAGTGACATAAATAGGCACGTGAATCGCCTGAACGAATCAGTAGTCCCTTCGAGCCTGCAGTAGACACCAAACATCATTGTGAGGGCCCTCAAAAGTAGTCGTAAGGGGCTTAAGAGGTCATCGTTAGGGCCATCATAGTCCAGCGTGGCCAAACAAGCCTCCGTGGTGGCGTTCGGAGACCACTGTGGGGCCCTTATAGGTCTTCATGATGCTTGAGGGCCCTCGAGCCCATCGTGGGGACCTCAGATGCCAGCGCGGCCCGTGGAGCCAACGTGGGAGCCCTCAAAGGATGTCGTGAGGGGCCCTGGAACCAATAATGGGGCCCATAGAGGCCGTCGTGAGGGCTCTCAGAGTCAGATGCCGCCCAAAAAGTCGCTGTGTGGGCCGAGAGACCGGCATGGGGAGCACCCGACCGTACCGGACTCTCAATAGTCCCAGATCGGCTTTTGTCTACATCAAAAGTATGTAATAAATGATTTGACGGGCTGTTTGAAGGACAGCCTACGGATTAAGGGGGCGTCTTTCCCCATCAGAACAGGGGGCATCTTACCCCAAGGTACCGAAGTAACATTAAATCAGTACAATTTGTTAGCCATAAAACTACACCCTGAAACAAACTGCTTGGGACTAGAGGTGGCAAAATGTGGACCCGAGGACCCGGTCCAAAGAACCAGTCTGGACCCATATGGGTCCAGACCGGTTCCTGGAAATTTTCTGACGGGTCCAACCGGGTCCTACCATAAACTATACATCTTGCACACTACACATTATTGCAAAATATGAAGTGAATGAAGTGAATGTTTCTTTGCACACAGTAGCTCATGAGTATTCCCAGTGGGAAATAGGCTGTTATACATGATGCAACTAATGATTACAAGAAGTTTGTATTAATTGACTTTTGGGGACCGGGTCCAACTGGTTCCGATTCCAACTAAGACCGGGTCCGACTGGTTCCAGAAATGTCCAGCCGGGTCTGGTTCGAGTCTGGTTCCCAAAATTTTCATCTTTTGCCACCTCTACTTGGGACACAGTACACGTATGTTAATGTATCACGACTATAGCAAGGGATGCAAAAATTATCTACCTTCTTTGATATTTACAATGTTTTGACGCCAAAATATTTTTTAAAAGCAGCAAATAAAAAACATGCAATCACCAGCCAGCCGTTGCCCAACTGAGCTTCGCAAACTTTTGTGCAGTTAACAAGGCAGGCTTCCGCTTTACGCTAAGAACATTTATTTCCAGGTTCGATTCTTTGTTTCCCCGCTAGAGGGGGTGGGGCGTCTTTCCCACCCTGGGCATCTTACCCCACTCTCCCCTAAGTGCAACCCTAGCTGATAGTTACTTAGGTACTAAGAGACACACTGAACCTAATTTGACCAAATCTGCACCTAATCTGCACCAAAGTGCACCAAATGTGTACCAGATGGCCGTCGTGAAAACCATGTGAAAACGGCTATTAGCTAGCCATGTTCCACTTTGTCCTCTCTTTTTTTAGACCAGCCCATCTTGTTACTATAGCACACTTCCTGGTTCTGGGTTGTCGGTCAACCCACCTGACGGTAGACGGTGGAAATATTTGGGTCAGGTCCATGAACTTTTTATGGTAAGTGTAAAATTAATCAAATCGAGGGTACTGAAAGCTTCGTCGCGATCAGCCTCTTTTTACGCGAGTTATTTGCGAAAAACCTAAGGGGTGCTGCATCAACCCTCCTGTGCCGGCGAGGTTTATTTAACCCGGCAGTTGCTGGGGTATTTCGCCACCCACCGTTTGCTGGGGGGGGGGGGGGGCGTTAAACGCCCCCAGCCGATAACTCGAGAACCAATAGGCGCAGCGAAACGCACGAGGCGGCAAACGAAAGAGCGCGACGAGACGCTTCAGATGAGTACTTTAAAGTTGAATTTTGAGGTCACAGGTAAGGTCAAGGTCAGGTCAAACACCTGAAATCGGGCTTTCAGTAGCATGGACTTCAGGACTTCGCAATGGGCGCCTCTCGCCATAAACTCTGTCAAAACGGTGCACAATCCATCTTATAAGGCCTACAAGAGTGTCAGCTCCATGTAGGGGTCAGTCAAGCATAGGTCAGGGTCAAGGTCAGGTCAACCGGGTAGGCACATATCCCCGAAAATCAAAACTGATATTCGCAGCCTGTGACACATGTTTTATAGGTAATTTGGGGCGTAGAACACGATGGTGACATTCATTTTATCATATGTGTACGTGTTTGGCTCAAAAAGTTCAATTTAAGAAATTCATATATCATGGTCGTGAAGAAGTCACGAAAAATTGCCAAGATTCAGTTCAAGATTATGGAAAATGCGGAACGATAATCAATGATCGAAGATAGCCATTTGATTGATCATGGTATTGGCAGTCTAATGGCGTTTACGGCATGTCTGTATGTCTATTCTGTGATTTTATATGATTTTTTGAACATATGCCGTTTTTGGTCGAAAACTCAGAAATCATGACGTCACTAAAAGCTCGATATCTCAAAAATTTTCCGACCGATTTTTTTGAAACTTTGTCACAATAAACTTCAATCAATTCCCTACAGGTACCCAAAGTTTGGCGCGCCTGCGGCGCGCCGTTTTTATGCTATGGCCCGGCGAAAAAAGTGGGGGCGTTTAACCCCCCCCCAGCAACTCGCGGGCTAACCCTCGCCGGCCGAGAAGGGGGAGGGCGGGTGCCGGCCCCCCTAGGATTTTTTTTTCGCGATAGCTTCGAGCACGCCGGCGATAGAGAGCTGAAACTTGGCACATTTGATTTTTTTATCCGAGCCGCATCTTGTGACACCAACCGCATTTTCAGGTCAGGTCAGGTCACTGATCTATGACGTCATAAGTGAACTTCTGCACGGCCCTCAGATGTCGCAGCTTCGCAACGCCTTCAGTGCCAGGGGGAACTTTCACAGGGAGATGAAGCTTACAGGATGCAGTATCCTCCTGAGGTTTCACAAATTGTATATGTCGGATTGTTCTTAAAGGTCACGTCACATGAGGCCAGGTCGGTCACGTGACCTTATAAGTCAATGGCAAAAATGAAAACTGCTTTTTAGCGCTGGGAACAATCATCATTTCAAGCACACGGAATCGTGATTTTATGTATTCCTTATGTATCATTTATGACTTCACTTGGTCATAAGAGTTTTTCGTCAATAACACACGATCAAATCGAGCTAGCGAATCGAAAAAGCCGCCAGTGGACTCAAGAAGACCTGCCGAAGCGAATGATATGCGACATAATCTCCTTCGACCAGCTTCGTGACCTGGGGGGCGCTGACCTGACCTTGACCCGAGGTCAACACCTTAAGTTGACCTCACCTGAACAAAAAAAAAATATATACCATTCGACGCGCCAAAGCAAGGCGAACACAATGATGCCAAAACCGCGGCTCTGCGACCGTTTTTTTTTTAAACGAAGTTATTTCTGAAAAGCTGTACCCGTACCTTCAGTGGCGTAGCCAGAAATCAGCGAAGGGGGGGGGGGGGCATGGTGCTTGAGGGGGCGACTTTTCCCTCGAGAGGGGCGCCATTGTCAGCTAGTGACATGGGCGTTAGTCTAAAACCCAGCCAGCCATCCCAAATGGGGCCCACATGGGCTGGAAGTGGGGAATCTGGGCGAACTAACACGATATTCGTGATCAGCACCCGGAAAACCCCATAGCAGCCACAATTTACGACTTTCTAACAGGTCCCGATTTTCCCGATTTTCGGGTCATTGACCTGACCTGGATGGTCACCCGATGACCTAGGACCTTAAAATTGGATATCAGATCGGCTCCCTCTCGTGACGGGCAACACGCTCGTTTTTTTTCCGCGAAGCTCTAGCTCGATCAGGGGCCAAACGCGAGGGGGGGGGGGGTCGTACCAACCTTGTGCCGTCGAAGGACGCAAAATGGCCTGTGCCGGCGAGGGTTAATTGATGATACTCTCTGACAATATGACAAATCAGCCATATAAGCAATTAGTGCAACCCTAGCTGACAGCTGCTAAGAGACACACTGAACCTAATTTGACCAAATCTGCACCTAATCTGCACCAAATGTGTACCAGATGGCCGTCGTGAAAACGGCTATTGTTATGCTAAAATTTTTCAGGGATGAATGGCCCGATCCAGTGTTGTTATAGTATCTGCACCCATCAACCCCGCCGTTGATTTGGATCGCGGTCGGCCGGCCGCCCCGCCATGAGAGCGGGTCAGGCGAGTATCCGGGCCGTCGCCGCGCCTCGCCCTGACAATCACAGAGCTCTGGGGGAGGTGCCGCTCCACAGGACAACGACAATGGGGGCCGCTCTCCACTCCCAGCCGACCTCTCCTAACCGCCCACCGAGGCCTCGCCCACCGCGTGACGTCACCGCCCGGTAGGCCCCGCCCAGTGGCGGAGGGCTGGTGATGTCGGACCGTGTTCAGACTGACCTATAAGAGCTGTCCGGCGACGGGACACGGGCTCTAGCAGCGATCGTAGCTCCTGACACTGCACTCGGAGCAGCGGAGACATCCCATCAGTCATGAGGTAAGTGAATAAAGGACATCAGCAGGCAGCAGCTATGGTGGATTCATCAGCATTGGTTTTGTTTTGGCATCTTCATAACATAACCTGGCGGTTCCTTATTCTGAAAGTCCAATTGTTTAATACTAAATTAGGCTATTTACGCTCATTATTTTATGCAAATAAGGTACTTGTGATGACAAAAATGATAATTTGAATAATCGTCCTCTCTTGTTCGAGAACTTCCGATTTAGGACGATAGCACGATGTGCGATGTAGGAGTCAGAAGGTAACACATGGATGTAACTAGAAGAAAAACTCTCATGTCCGCCCTTCAGTTTATTGCTCTTCTTACTGCGGTTTTCAAATCAGCTTGCGTGTAGTGGGATGGTGAGTGTCTATTTAATCCACCAGTCGTTCGAGCGATTGAGCTGGGAACTTTGCGAAAAAATGAACGCATTGTTTGAGACGAGAAGAAGCCGATGCAATGGTAGGTATCCTTTGCCATAGTTCCAGATGATTCGTTGACCTTTCGGGTCAGGTCGTGGACCTAAGTCCCACTAAAATTGGGAACTGCCAAAACTTCTTCTAGTGCAGGACCTTCTGGGGTCCTGATGTCAAATTTTGCATTTATTTTTAGGCATTAATTAAAGATAATGCTTTTGTGTATTTCGGACAAGCCGGGTAAGGTCAGGTCAGGTCAACCATCAGGGTTCCCGCCGACTGTAGGTGGTAACCGCCACTGACAATGTCGCAGTGCTGCGACATTGTCAGTGGCGGTTACCACTGCTCATATCGAATGGGCAACAAAACTAACTAAAAGTTGTCAATGCTCGAATGAGTGCTAACTTCGCAATCAACTCCCAGAATTACCCTAACTAAATTGTAAAATAAGGAAGCTCACCGAAGTTACTGACTTCGGTTGACCGCGGGACCTTTAGGTGGACTTGAAACCCATCATGAGGCTTGAGACAAACATTATTTTACATGTTGACACGCTACGTATCCCCAAAAGTCTGGAAACGCACGAGTAATATGTGCTGACGCCTGACATAAGAAGAATCATCATTGTAGCCCGACTCTCGAGAAACAGATCGCAGTTCAAAGATCATTTGGGTGAAGGAATTTTCAGGGCAAGTGAAAGGCGCTAAACGAGGTTTATAAAGTTTCTTTGCTCTTTAACCCTCGCCCTGGCAGGGCATTTTTCATAACACGACCTGGCAGGGGGGGGGGGTCGATGCGACCCCCCTCGCGATTGGCTCCTATGGCACCTAGAAACACCAAATTTGGTAGGTAGGTGGGCCCCCTGGAGTTCTCGCCCCTGTGCAAATTTAGTTGCTCTAGGTCAATATTTAGGGGGGTTTTGGGGGGTATAAATCTAAAAATTTCGCTAAAAAAGGTCAAAAGTTTTTCGCTTATAACTTTTGATCTAATAACGATAGAGCAAAAAGAAAAGCACCAGTGAACTCAGCACGTCAAGGCGCGTCGAATGATATACTTTTTAGCTTGCTTAAGTGTACTTAAAGTTTTTTCTTACATTTTAAGTAAACTTAAATTAATAAATTAAGTTCAAGTTAATCAAATTGCATCACATCGCATATCATTCGATTCGGCTGATCACTAGGAACACAATGATACCATTTTTTTAAGCTCTAGCGTCATTATGTGCCAAGTTATTGGCAAAAACGTCATTTGACCTCAGTTGACCTCATTTGACCTGACCCATGGATAAGTTCACCAAACAAAGAAGCACCAAGTGACCTGCTGATAAGTACTGTGGTTTCAAAGCACAAAAGTGATAGAACGAAGCGGATATCTCCAGTATTTTCCGAATTTAGTATTTTCCCAGAGGCTTAACATTACGACGTAATGACCTCTAACTAACCTCAGGTCAGTGACCTCAAAAAACCCGAACTATATGTTATACAACTCGGTGAACTTAGCACATCCTGAAAGTTTGAAGGAAATCAGTCCAAAACTGTGAGCTGGACAGGTGCAAAAAGAAAATTGAAATTTGACCATGACCTTGTACCGGTTTTTTCTGACCTGGTGACCTGACCCAAGGTCACCCGGACCTGAAATTTTCAGGTCATATGTAAAAAGGTTGCCCCATAGGCTGTGCCAAATTTGGCGGCGCTGCGCGCCGCCGTTTTTACGCTATCTTCGAAAAACCTTAGGGGGGTCGCATCGACCCCCCCCCCTGCCAGGGCGAGGGTTAAGCTTCTTTAAGTTTAAGTTTCTTTCTTAGGCTATTAACGCGAGTTTTTTAAGTGAGCGGTTCTTCCGCCCCCTCCCAAAAGGGCGAAGGCTAGCCTATTTACCACCCTCTGAGGCGTTTTTTTCCAGGCTGTAAAGCTCTCAGGTCACTGCTCTTACAATAAACTTGCTGTTGAACTTGCCTTCCCCACATGTCTCATGCAGTTTCCTATACCATTTTAGTCTAATCCAGCAGACCGCTATTTAACAGCGTTGTCGGCCACCTTTCTGACCTGTCTCGGCCCCCTACCAGGTCACTGCTAGTGTCTGCTGTGCTGGTGGCCGCTCTGGCCGGGCTGAGCCGGGCCCAGAACTCGACCGTGGTGCCGCTGCGGCGGACAGTCGGCTCCTCCGGCCGCGCCCTGCCGGACGGCCTGATCCAGCCTGGCAATCCGTACGAGACATGGAGCTCGTACTACCAGCGCGCCGAGCAGGACCGGCGCGCGCGCCACGAGCGGACTCGCCGCGCCGCCGACCAGCCGCATTCGCGCCAGAAGCGGCGCTACCTGGGCTTCCCCTCTGGCTCGTACTTTGACCTCGAGCCGGAGATCTACGTGCCCCTCTTCACCGACGGCGACTTCTGTGAGCTTTGGCCCCGACCCACTCACCACTCATGATGAGGCGCCACGGGGCTCTTTTGTCGTATAGTAGAGAGGTGTTTGATTTGGACTAACCTTTGTTTCGATGAGGGACTGTGAGTGTTTCTCTAGGAGCGTTGCATGCTCTTCCTCATTCTGTTTGTTTGCCGGGATGATGCACATATTTGCCGAGATATTCAACTTCACTTGACATGTATTGAGTGGCCCATGCCAACAAAGATGTTTGTTTTGCGCCAATAACAAAGGGAACATCAGGACCTTGTAGACCGTTCTCACACTTTTATTTTCCGTCTTCTATTTTCTGCTAAATGTCGTCTTCAATCTTCTTGTATCTGTACAAAGCTGTCTTCAATGCTAGCTTTTCGGCTTTAATAACTTAATTTTTCCAGCTTTGTGTTAACCGATATGACTTGCGCTGACTTTGTAAAATGAATCGCCACGACAGCTACCTCATTCATCGTCCAACTTCCACAGCTCAATGCTGAAGTCTTATGACTTCAATGATATCTATGACCTCTCGTCGACCTCAATGATCGACACTGACCCAAATGACTCATCTTCGACTTCTCTGACTCATCTCTGACCTCTGTGACCCTCTGCTGACCTCTTGGTGACCTCGGCACAGCTATGAGAATCGACACGGAGGTCACTCTGCGCTGGACCCTGCCGGAATCGTTCTCAATCGGCCGCTCCAGCTACTCGGGCGACCGGCTGGGCATTTACGAGACCGCTCAGCGCACACTCGATAGGTAGTCATCGCGGACCATCAGACCCATGTTTGGAGTGAATGCCGCGGGCGTTCATACGGACTTTTTACCAGCGCACATAGACCAGAACGGACGCATGAATCTCATAGCACCGACATAGCTTTTGACAACTGTGCATGCTGTTTATATGCTTTTTATAGCGGCTAACTGTATGTACATATGCATATTTTTCAAACATTCTGTATTCTGCATGTGTGCTCTTTACATTCATATTTCTTGTATTTTCACAATCTACATGGATTATATGTATTATACGTGCTCATTGTCTTTCCATTCTAACTTTTCTTGGTGAAACCCGCTTTCCTCCGCGTTTTGTGTAAATAAAATATTTTTCCACACGATGGTCAACCGGCCACATTGCGACCTGACCTGAAAACGCTGACCTGAGTGCCTGTCGACCTCGTCAGGTTCGGAGTGAATGGAAAGGCGTGCCTGCTGAGGGCCATTTGTGAGGCGGCAGAGTACCCGGTCGAGAACGAAGGACTCCTCGGAGAGATTCTCAACATTGTGCTCACGTAAGTGCGAGTCCCTAAATGTTGGCTGCTGTTTGATAGAAGTTATTACTTGCATAAAGAAAACAAACAATTATAGCGACCAAGTTGAATTCATATGTCAGCTCGTAAAAAGACCGAAGACGTGATAAGCACACCTTCTTTTTTGCTTTTTTCGACAGTTAAATTTGCTCGAAATCTTAAAAAAACTTATCTGTTTTCATTTTCATTGCGCTTTGAGAACGTTTTCTGCGTTGTCACGGTGAATGAGCCAAACAAGGAGGATATCGGTTCTCACTCTCCTCCCACCGCCGATTGCGGGACATCATCATCCCTCAACTCCTTGTTAGCGGTGGGGTGGCGACACCAGCCGATCACGTGCTCACTCCCTTTGACACCTGTCGCTGTCGCTGACGGCGGGCTCCCGCGCCAGCCGCCGTCGTCTCGCAATGCTGCCGTGGCCGGCAGCCTGCGCACTTTCCCGTGAGACGTGGAGTCAGGTCGGGTGTCAGACCGACATGGCTTCCTGACCGCGCCGCCCATTCTTCACCTATCGACAGAGCGCCTTGGTAACGGCGGCGACAGCCTGCCGGTGTGAACTGTCACTAATTGTTCCTCTATCTGGTGGCCAATCGACCGTGATGAGTCTGCCACCGAACCTCCTCTTCGTCCTGGCTCTCAGCATACACATCGCACCCATTCACGGATGGCTTATCAGGTTATCACTAGGCTACCCATTTTTAACACGCGCACTGCAGCGGGTCTGAGCCGAACACGAACTGCAGGGGGGGGGGGGGTTGAAAACAACCCCCCCCTGAGATCTCGAAAACGGCGCAACGTAGCGACAAGCGGTAAACGGCGTTGGATAGGTTGAGATGAGATCTACAAGAAATACAAAGATCATTTTTGGGTCAGGTCAAAAACGAGGTCACCAGAGGTCACCGAAGACAAAATGTTACGATTTTCACAACAGGAATTTCGCGGTAGTTTTTCTTGAATAACTTGTCTTGCACACAAGACAGAGGATCGATTCGAACGCCATCGTTCTTAGCTCGTCAAGGCGCATCGAATGATATATGATATGACCTCGAAAGGTCAAGTTGAAAAATTGACCTCAGGTCAAGGTCATGACCTGACCGAAATAGGTCATGTTGCATATCATTCGATCCGCATTGACGAGAAAAACACGATAAACGTCGAACGGAGTCTCTATCTCTATTCAATCTCAAGTTATTGAAGAAAAACCGCTGGTGACCTCAGGTGACCTAAGATGACCTGGAGATCACCTTCCAAAGGTCATAAGTGATATTTTTCGGTGAAATCACCAACAGGGACCTGTAATACTATGATCCTGAGCGTATTGAAGTCATAGGATGGCATTCAGAGTAAGTTGAAATTTCTCCCATTGACTTATAATGGGCCGGTCGCAAAAATGACCTGACCTTAGGTCATCGATATAAAAATTCCGAGATATACAAGTTGTAGCTCGTGATGACTTTACTATTTCCTGTGGGTTTCAAGATCATATCTCAACAACTGTGGGCTTGGTGGGATTGCAAACTTCGAAATTTACGTTTCGAGGTAGGGTCACTTGACCTGACCTGGTGACCTGACCATAGGTCACCTGGGGTCAAAATTTTTACTCAAGGTGTGCAAAAGTTGGGAGAACAGGTATGCAAAATTTGGCGGCGCTACGCGCCGCCGTTTTTTTCGCGATTTGCGAAAAACCACAGGGGGGGGGGGGGTTGAAAACACCCCCCCCCCTGCAGTGCGCGTGTTAAATAGATAAACTTACAGTTGAATGGATCTCCGAAAGTGCCCATCTGCGTCTCCCGACCGATGATCGAGTGTGTAAGCCACTCGTGACCTCTGACCTCTGCTGTTTGACCTTTGGCAGAGCTTCACGGGCCGAGACTGAGAGCTCGAAGGAGCTGGAGTACACGCAGGCAGAGTACCAGGGCCGGGCGCTCGGCAACTGCTACGCGGCCTACCCCGACTGTCCGGTGTCTGTGTTCAACCTGGTGTGAGCGGGAGCGGCTTCAACACCCTGTTGGGGATGACAGGATCGAGAGCTCGAGGTCGGGCTCCCCAAGACCGGTACCTACTAAGACAGGGTAGCGCAGCACATCAGCGCGTCATCGGCACCATACGGCCGGGTGGCTTCGTGCTTGACTCTTTCATCTTGACGACTTTCAATAATGTTTGTTTTCCATGAAGAGTTGTATGACATATGTATTTGTGCTGCGAGTTCAGAGGCAGAGCGCACAGTGATGAGACCCTGAAGGTGAAGGTCCTTACGAGAGAGCACGTTACGAGAGAATACTTGCGCCTCATCTGCCGTGAGCTGAGGTGGACACTGGACATAGACGTACCGAACCAGTGATTATTTATTGTTGGAGCAAAGACGGACTATTAGCTCGCACTGATGTCACCCACTCGTTTTACCTGATTGCCAGTATAGACAATGTATTTGCACGGGTAACTGTGTATTGAATGATGGTAGATTCACTGTTTGAGTAGTACATGTCACTCAGGTGTTGTGCAATGATGATGTTACGCGCTGTTCACGCATCTCATGTTACTTTGTTATCACAATTGTTTATTATTGTTAAATATATTTATTCTGCACACTTTGTTAGCAGTTCATCAAGCACAAAACATCATGGGGAGGGATCATCGTGTCGGGAGTGGCTGAATCGACACAGTCGATGTTCTGAACTCTGAGAATCTCATTATGAGATTTGATAAATGCCTAAGCTGCTGGCGCTAAGGGAGTTTCCTCGCCGCGAAGGGGTTGGGGGTGGGGTGGGGGAGGGGGCAATTTCACGGCCCCTCAGTTTTTTTTTTTTGGAATATACCGGGTGCCCCCCCCAAAAAAAAAACGTTCCGAACTTTGGAGGCCTATATCTCAAATTCGAGTGCAAATAACGAGCCAAAATTTTCATAAAGGTTGCGTCACTTCTTTGCACATTGGTATGCCAAATAATAACACTGTAACATCATTTTCAAGCCAGCAATCTTATGTTGAATTAAGTAAGACGTTTTTGCTTTTTTTGCCGATGTTGAACGGCAGTAATGATTGGCTTAGACGTACCATGTTAGTAAAAAAGAATGGAAAAATAGAACACGTGAATGAAACCAGCACGTGTGTTGTTACTTTAAATATTTTGTCCCACTTATGTACCAAATATTCAAATACTGAGCCAAAATAGTGTTAATGGATGCCATTTGTTTTAACAAGTCCTGTTTCGAGCAGGAGTGGCACGGTGCATGGGTTACTGCTGATCGCCCTCCCTTCAAGAAGATCAAACAGCGAATAAGGAAAAAAGCTAGAGGGAATGTGTCATCCTGAGGCCTGAACCATCAATGAGACTAGTTGCCAGTAGCAGTCATGGCTGCAGGCCGTGGGTGCCGAGATGGAAGTGGCCCGTTCACTCACATTTTTTAGTAAAGATCTGAGCAAAAAAGTAATTTTTGCATGGCATGCTAGAAACACTAACCATTTAAAAAGTAATTGACCGAATAACATAAAAATCATACCATTTACTGAAAATGTATGCGGCATTGACTATTGGAAGTTGTAATGTTGTATCGTTATCGCTTTTTTCGTTATCGCTGAGAAATATTGATTTAAAGTTGGGAACGTTTTTTTCTGGGCCACCCGGTATAAAAAGCGACGGTGCTGTGAATTTTGTGCATATTTTCCGCATAATATATGAATATATGAATACATAATATATGAATATGTTAACCCTATTAGTGGCAGGCTCCTGGCTACCCCCTATTAGTGGCAGGGGGGGCTGTTTACGACCCCCCCCCCCTTGATATCTCGAGATCTAACGGGCCGATTTTCAAAATTCAAACGGCATTCGATTTCGCTCAACGAGATCTACATTTCTAAAAAAAAAATTGAAAAATGTCAATAGTTTAGACTGTTTATCACGGCCAGGTTTCTGAACCAATCTTAACGCAACTTTTGCCGATCGATAGAGAATGAACCAGGAATTCACATGGATCCTAAAAATATGCATTTTCAAAAATCATAGGCGGATACAGATCATTGAGATTGGGGGTACACAAAAAGTATAGTAAATAAGGTTTTTGTTGGTACTGTTTCTAAAAAGGGTGGCAATGGTCTTGTTATGTTACAATTTTCTTATGAGAGAACGACTAAAATTGTATTGGTCATGCATAGGCGGTGTCAGGGCACCTATTTTGGGAGGTACAAAATAACCCCCCTTTTTGGACGCCTGGATCCGCCTATTATAGCAAAAACGTGTCAAAAGAGGATGCACAATAACTTTGTATATGTTATCACATGATACCTTTCATTCACTGTTCGTAAAACTGGTGCAGCATCGCGATCTTCGCCCAAATGACTCGCTTCACGAATAGGACCCCCCAATTCCCAGTGCTCTGGAGCCGCCCCTGGTAAAGCTATGAACTTGAAATTTTCAGGGAATGTGCCCAATTTAGTTTTAGGAAAAGTCAGAAAATTTCAGCATCGTAGCTTCAGCGGTTTCGGAGATATTCCCGAAAAACCTGAGGGGTGGATAAAAACAACCCCCCCCCCCTGCCACTAATAGGGTTAACTATACAAGGCACATATCTGTGCCTTGTATAGTTAACTTTTGAACTGAAGAAGAAACGTTACCGAAATATATTCATTCATTTTAGGCTAATTTTGGATTGTTAAAAGATAGTGAGCATACGGTTATTCTTCTACGATATTCAATCATGCTGCTCATTCTAGTAGTTCGCCACCTTATTATGAATATGTTTGATGTAACTAGGTCGTTCAGTAGCCGTTTTCACGACGGACTATTCGGCGAGTGCACCTAATCTGACCAAATCTGCATCTAATCTCTTTTACAGCAAATATCTTTATTTTATGAATTTATTTCAGTGTTGTAATCGATGATGTTCTCTGATAATATGATAAAGCAGGCATATAAGCAATTAGTACAACCCTAGTGATAGCTAATAAGAGACAAACTGAATCTAATTTGACCAAATCTGCATCCAAACTGCACCAGATGTGAACCAAATGTGTACCAGATGGCCGTCGTGAAAACGGCTAGTATCAGATCGCCAGGTCACGACCTAAATTTCAAGGAAAAAGCCACTACAGTCCACAGCTAAGTCAAATGAACGAGGTATTTGAAATTGTCATCAATTGATAGGAGTGACAGGAAGCATACAATGTATGCCTATCTTGGATTTTCGATATCGATGATAGGTGAAAAAAGCTTTGCAATCTCTTTTTCCTAAGTGGATGGGATAAAATAAAACTGCGCTTCTTCGTAAAAAGGTCATTCTAAACTTTCAAAAGAGAACATTGTTATATGGGGCGCCTATTGCATACTTGAACGAAAAAATTCTCTCGCAGCCTCACATCATATCCTTGAGGTCATCCATTGTCATGGAAGTTCGCAAGCAGCAATCTTGAAACAGAAATGTCGAAGTGGGACAAATACAATTGACCTTTGTAACCTCTGGTGACCTCACCAAACCTTGAGCTAAATATGGCGCCTGCAACCTTTGCTACAATATTTTTGACGGTCTTTTGAAAGCCGCTTACCGCATGTCGCTACGTGGCCAATGAGCCGAGTTAGAAGGGACATGGTCAAACATCCACAGAAGGGCTGGCAGGTTAGGAGATGCGCTCAAAATTGATCGCAAAATTAGTTAAATGCGCACACCAACAAGAAAGGAATCAAGCGCGAAGTAAATGCAACTCATCTACCAGCAACCCTCGGTGGCGCATTTGATTGGGCGCCATTTCGGAGGTCGGGAAGATTTTGGTTTGATCCATCCATTTGATCAAAGTGGTTAGGACTCCCGCTGTTCCCGTATCCCAGAAAGGGGAACGGAATGAAGGAGGAGCGGGAGCCCTACTGTAAATGGGCACATATGGACCGTCGGGGGGGGGGGGGACAAAGTTAGCAGTGCGTGCGTACGCTTTACAGTCAATGCCAACGTCAAGAAAGTAAACTGAAAGACGTCCTCTGTATGCACCGCAGATTTCCCCGGCCACATAATTAACTGCCCTTACATTACCTTGCACGCGGGCTATACCCGTGAGCCTCTTGAGTGCACATGATAGAACTAATAGCGCCCGCGACTATAGTCGGCTCAAATCCGGATTCCGATAGTGCATGTCACCGCTGGCCCGCCTGACCGTAGAGGCGATGACGTGTCATATCTGACCCAGTCGTCATCCAGCCGAGCCGGCAGAGCGGCGCTCCGCCGGCTTTCACGGCATTGACCGCCGCGGTGGTGCATTGTGGATTGGGCAGATGGTCAGCCCCATTCAGCCCTTTGTGCACTTCGTTAGGTCTTTTTCGGGCCGCGCTCTGTCTGTGCGTGGTGTTTTTCCATTGGTTATACTGGCAATAACTGATGGGGGGCATTCCACGTCAAGTGGGACAAAAAATGATCATTTTGAACCTCACCTCCTCCGATTTTTGCGAAACTTTGTGAAACTACTCATCTATATGTGAAAAGAAAGGAGACATATTTTTGTCAAGATATGACGTCACGTTTCCGAGATACACGTCATCAAACATTGACTTACGCAAGGCACATTATCATATTTAAAGCGTCATAACCATTGAAGTTTTAGACATATCACCACGAGATAAAGTGTGAAATGGAGGGAATAGGTCAGGCTTTAATTTGAGGCTAACAATATAGACGTAATTAATTAATTAGTGAACCTAATTAAAATTCAAAAAATAGATTTTGATTTTCTGAAAAATGGGTACCCTTCGATTTTGCTAATTTTTACATATTTTATTCTCTTATACATTAGCTACATCATATAAAAAATCCAGAATGGGCCGACGTCTACGTAGCCGTCTTTTGGACTTCGTAATGTCTGGCGCTCGCGTGTTTCGTTTTAGCAACCAAGGAGAGGCGCTACCCGGAGATGCTTCTTTCTACCCCAAACCAAAGCAAACAAACCTAACCTGACCTGACGTGACCTGACCTAATCTAACACACGTAAATATGTACAGCCCTCACGGCAGTTGCCGATTGGCCAAATGCTACCTACTTAGATACGAACATTGCCCTCACGACAGTTGCCGGCTGGCCAGATGCTACTTAAAAAACAAATGCGTGTTGAACACTTCAGGCTCACCCGCTGCGAGCCAGCGACCTTTAGATTTCGAGGTGGGTACACTCGGCACACTTACTACTAAGCCACGAAGATAGCTGGTCATCGTAAGCCAGTTTTTTAATGATGAAATTGGGCATTCTCCGAGCAGCGCCTCTCTTTAGTTGCAAAAAGGAAATACGCCTGACTCTCCCAGCGCTAGGGGAGAAAAGCCCGGTTTAGCCAAAAAAGGTATATAAAAACGGAATTTGAATTGTGGGTGGGGCGGTGGGGAACTTTATCGTGTGCCAATTTCATGGCCCTAGATCAATATATTCAAGATCAAATGAGGTTAAACGTGATCAAATTTGTTATGGTGACTAACTATTTTGCGTGTATACGCCCATAGCTTTAAGAGATACTGGCCGATTTTCCTTTTTCTCCCTTTATACGACATTTGTAGTGTTATGAGAATCTCTAGTTAATATTACCATAAATTTGGCAGTTAGTGGCTGGCTAAGAGTAAGAT